TAGGAATTTAGTGACAGGAATACTTAAGGAATCTTTAGTTAAATAGGTACCAATACTGTAATTAAAGAATACGATAATTGTGAATTGCATACACACAGCTAAAGAGCTGCAGGAATATCATAGCCAGTTGCACAGACCACAGATTTGGTGGGCCAGAGGACCTTCCTCAGTGGAAGGCTCTTCTTCCACTTCTTTTCTTTGCTTCCAACTCACTTTCCCTGTTTCTCCATACCAGTCCATTTTCTAACATCAGCAGGTTAACAGCCTGCTCATACTTCCATGAATTTTTGTTTTATTTTCTTCCCAGTCTTCCAAATAAGAGCATAACGAACTCTGAAAAGAGGATTTATCTTAGCAATGCTTTGGTTCTTGCTGCTGGTTCATGGCTGTCAAGTATTCTTTTAAGATTTTCTGTCAGTCTCAGTTTTGTTAAAAGCTATTTCTCCTTTCCACCCAGGTGATGTCTGGAGTACAAACTCCAAAGTTTGTCTCCTACAAAGATGTAGGAGGTTTTGCTTGAGTGTGTGACCCAGCTGCACCTTTCTGCTGTTGCAGGAATACACTGCAGCCCTGTTCAGACTATTGCACCACTGCGTCTTCTGTGGCATGTGTGGAGTTTGTCCCTCCATGCTAGTCGCTGTCTTGTTAATGCAGTTCTCATAAATGCTGCATACCCTGAATTAAATTAAAATTAGGGTGGTCCTGTAAAAGTAGATTTGGTTTCTTCTGGACGAATTATTAAAGCCTTGAAACAGGTCAGAGTGCTGGAAGTATTTGCCTCTCTTTCTCCACTGATGTGTATTGAACATACATTTAAATTAATCTACATCCTTGGATTTGTGGTGCCCCTCTCCAAAGGCATTAACCTCCCATGATCAGCGAGGAATTTTTGCTGAGTGTTGTCTAACCTTTCGTAGCATGGTGGTAGAATTTCGGACTGTCGGTAAGGCACAATCTGTGGAGTCATCTTGCTGTCAGGTGCTCCTACCCTGCAGAGAGCTGCAAAAAGATATTTGCTGAATCACCCTGGCTTGATTTAATCACCCGGCCTAGCATACAAAGAGAGCCTGGAGAACCAAAACTGAGTGAAGGGATTATGGCAGAGCTGCTAAACGGATGCACTAGACACAGGAGAGAAAGCTTAGGCTGAGATCTGTAACTGGGATTAAAATGTCTGCGCTTTGTGCCCTTGGGTGGGTATTAATGGAAACTGCTCTCACTTAGTGAGATGCCAGACATTCACAGCCTGATTTGAGAGATAAGACTTACTTGGTCAATGACTTTTTTCTGGAGGGGGCAGAAAAACTTTGATCATTGCTAAGTGGAGTCTTGGTACTAAATAGCTAATGTGCGTCTTAATTAATTTGTGCTGTCTCAGGAGACATGTTAAGTACCATGCACGTGGTACAGGGTCCTGTATAGAAATTCCCCTGTGAAATCACAGGAGCAAAAATTCCTTTCCATAGTTGTGTTGTAGAAATTGTGTAATTAAACAGGAAGCCAAAGTTGGTCCAACAACAACCACCACCTGAAAACGTTAGCTTAAAATGTAGAAAAACAAGTTGAAGGTATGTACTGTATGTGGCAGAGATTTGCTTATTTAGACATTTAAAATGCATCAGTGGTTTCCTGGAGTGGTTTCCTGCAACAGCGGACAGCAAATGCATTAGTATAAAGAGGTCAAAGAGAGGATCATAAATGTAATTAAGAACTCCTTAAAGTCTTTGAAAAGACCGGACTGAACAATTCACAGATTTTTCTATCAGTATCTGAACAAACTGAGCAACAGAGGAACTTGTTCTCATTAGTGGAACGGTATTCACATGTGACGTTAATCTGAACATTCACATTAGAAAGGCTGAAAGGCATGCTCTGAGCAGAAGACAGCAACAAAATTTGCTGTTGCCAAGTTTGGCCTTCAGCCAAGGGTGCAATTAAAAACAGAAGCACCACACTTGCCTTGCCATCTCTGAATAAAAAGTTCCATGTTGTACAGACCAACATTAGCTCTGTGTTCCAGAAAATTAAAATATTAAAAAATTCCAAGATTTTGCTAAGGGGATTTTAATTTTCATAGTGCTTAGAAAATCACATTCCAGACTGGCTCCCCTGAGCATGTGTATGCATACATGTGCATTTTAAAATAAAAAAATTTAAAATACTGTGGAGTCTGTCCTCTGCCTTTTCTTTGGTGAGAGAGACAGGTGACTAAGACACTGAATGCAGACCCAGAATTGGTGTTGCATTCTATTCTGGTTGCCAGGTCACTCTCGCTAAGCAAGTGCGGTGGAATTCACTTAAGTGCCACCTTGATGGATTGCCAGAGAAGAGGTATTGTGCTGCGTGCTTCAGTGACCGCACAGATCATTTGGCACACCTTCACGGAAGAAGTCATCTTAAACAGTGTGCACCCCAGCCTGGCAGCACCAGTCTTTGTTTGCTAGCAAGTTTTCAGTCACCAGGACTTTACACATACTGTGATTTTTTTGCTAAATTGTGGCTGCACAGAGCATAAAAGTAGCAGATCTGTAGTAGCTCTGGAGCTTGTTTTTTGATACAAATCCTAGGAGGGTACGTTCTTACTCTCTGCCAAGGTCATTGTTTTTATTGTCCTGCTCCTTTAGAAAAAAAAAGGAACTCAAAATACAGGCGAAACTCTGATTTTATTTGGCAAGAATGAATTCCTGTTCGTGGATCAAGGTAAAATATTTCAGCAGCTTCTTTAAAGGAGGAGTTGCTGATTTGTGTGTGCCTTTTTTTTTTTAACAGAAAACACATAGGCCTGTCAACTAACTCCCAGATGCTTTCATGAAGTGGACATTTTCCTTGCTGACAATGCTGACTTCCAAGGACAGCTGAAACAGATAGGAAAAGAAAATTATAACTGGAAAACCAGTTCAGGTATGGGAAGAGAAGTTCAAGTATGGGAAGGTTTTGAGGGCTTTATTGCTGGAGGAGTCAAGTGACAAGCTTGCCTGAAGAAGACAACTTTGAAAATGCATGGGTAGCAAAGCACTATAAAAAGCAGGGCAAAGTAGCTGTGTGGAAGAACAAGGATCACCCAAGACACAAGGTGAGACGGAAGAGGAGAGGATTTCAAAGGCTCTGATCCTTATGATGTCTATGAAAAGAATTCCATTGATTTTAGGAGACTTTTGATTGTGTTCAAAGAGAAGTCAAAGACAGGAATGAAAGAAATGAATGAAAGAAAGATGACTTCAGCAGCACAGATATTTCAGATAAGAATTCTTTCAAATTACCTTAGTTTAAAACAATCAAATTGATAATCAGACAAAACACAGAAATGGCAAGCATGAGCTAAATTTAGAGGTAGAGTAAGACCTTAATGGGGCAGTAAGTACAGAAGAGACCCTTATCTGAGATGACTAACTATGAATTTAAAAAAGTGTTGAGGGAGGAAGCAGTGTGTGAACATGTGAAGTATACAGAAAAAACGGAAGATAACCTTTGGAGAACATGAGTCTGAAATGCTCTTAAGACCTATACAAGGAGAGTTGTCCCAGAAACAACTTGAAGCATTTGGGAACGGAAAAGAGCATTTTGTTTAAAATTGTTACATTGATGTAGTAGATAAACCATGGCATTTAATGTAAAAACATAGTAGGAGGAGAAGAAACAGTATGTGGGGCCGGAAGCCAGGATGTTATCAAGGAGCTGTCATCCAGGACAGCAGTGGATTCACAGCATCTTCTCCATAGTTATACACTAACCATCTTTACGCAAGTGCTAACTCGGATCAGCAAAAAATAATTTCTGTAAGCAAATTACTGTCACGATTTGACATTAAGTAGCAGCTTCAGAAGCAGTTCACATTCAGGAAAGCGAAGTCTATGCTGTGGTTAGAAATTACTCAGGTCTAGGATTCCTAGTAAAGTTTGCAGAACTAGTTCTGGAATCTGTCTAGGACTGCAGGGAGTTTGGAATTGGAGAACCTTATCTGGCTGCAAAGCAGCATCTTGTGAATGCAGCCTAGGCACATCCTGTCCCTTCATGGACATCCTCAGCGCACATGCGTCTTGGGGGAGCGTGCTGGGAAGAAAACGATGAGCTGGTAACGTCGAAGGGGGTTAGAATCTAGAGTGGTGTAAAAATGCAACTGATCCTCTTCTGTTCGCAAACCAAAGGATGGAGAAGTTGCCCTTGTGGCTGTGGTTGGCTGTTTGGAGTACCACCATGCAGTTTAAACATGCATTTATACAATTAATTAGAAATTAGCAGAATAATCAAATAATGAAAAGTTAAATTGGTAACAGCAAGCTAAGGGAAAAGCTCTGTAAACAACATTTGAAAAAGATGGTTGTGTAATAAAGATAAGATTTATATTCTTTCCACTATACAAAAGTCACATAGAACTTGTACTTTACAACAGATTTTATTTTGTGCATACAAGATGCAGGTGCTCTACTGACCTTAATGTTATGTATGTTTTCAAAGGCAAATACAAACTAGGAAAAATATAAAGCAAAGACATTTTAATTAAGGAAAGGAACATAGTCTAATGGTTATAGCATGAACCCAAGAGTTGAGAGAACACAGGTGTCACAGTACGACCTTCTGCAAGTCACCCTGAAGTAGGCGAGATATTTTTTAGGTTTTCATGAACTTTAGTTCATTTAGTAGCTACTGCCAGTGAAATGCATTGTTAGGCAACAGAGAACTGTCCTTGCAGATGTAATGTAACCACACTACATCAGAAACATTACTAACTTGGAGTTAAATTGTCATGTTAAAAACATCAGTCTTGAATAACAAGCCATGTATAGCTGTATCGCCTAATTGCAAACCAGTCGACAAACTGTATCTCAGAAACCCTCTGTTAATTCCCCTTGGCTCTGAACAGGTAATTAGGAACTGAGTACTTGGGGTAATCAGGTACTCTGGCAGCACTCCTGTTTCCTTGGAGGGATAGCTCCAAGCACGCACCACCCTCCACCATTAGCCCTTCATGTCTTTCCTACCTGTTTGTTCAATGCAGGTACATTTGCCTTGTACTTACCTACTTGATTGCAACCACAGGTTGAGCAGAGATGATGATGACCTGTTCCCTTTTGCAACAAAGGGACTGTTAGCTTCTGCTGTGCAAAGTGTTCTGGGTATACTTAAAAGTTTTTAATAACAGCAGCTAAAGTAAGTATCATAGTGGAACTACCCAGTTTTTCCTGCTTATGGAAAGACACTAAAGTCATCTGGAAAATACTGTTCCTACTGTGGGACAAATTACTCAGCTCCCATTTAGTAGTAAATTATGCTGACTGTGACAGTCCGGAATGCAAGCTACAGTGGGTTTTAGATAGAGATCAGTATGCAGGACAAATTAACCAAAGCCTGGACAGCTATAATAAACAAGAATCCTTATGTGGATTTGCTGACTGAGCAGCACCTTCCCAAATAGAACTGGCAGCCATTCAACCTGCTACTGTTGTTGTGAAGAAACTTCTTACAGGTTGGCTTTTTTTTTAAGATGGATTTTTATTGACTTTCCAGATGACATCATTAATCCATGTAAACAGGATTTTTATTTTGCTCATAATAGAAAGTGTAAACAGAAACCTGAGCATCAGTATATGCTCACTTCTTCAGTGGTGATCCAGCACTCGCCTTCTGAAAAAAAAACCAGTCCTGTTGTTTTTAATTTGCACTTCCATTCTGAACCATTTGTAGATACTCCTTGTATAGCTTTTCTTGGGTTTCATAAAGCTTCTTTAGCTTCTTAATTTGTCCTTTGCTGAGTTCTTTTCCTTCTGTATCATGGGTAGGAAATCCCTGAAATATCAAAAAAAAACCCAACAACAACAACAATTTTTCAGATACATTTTTGGACTGCTTTTGCTCCTTATGGAATAGTTTTAATAAGACAGGGACATAATGTAATAATGACAAGGTGTCAGGATGGGGTGCATCTTGCCTAATTTTAGTCACCTAGAAGTTTGACAACTAACTGACTATTTGTGTATGTTCCCTTCCCAGTTAATGAAGGGGCAAAGGGTGCATTTATTTCATGTCCTGTGCTAAGTAAGGGAAGCTGAGGCAACTAACTTCTAGATGGTTACAGTTAAGAGAAGAATAACTAATCCCTAAACAGATGGTTAAGAGACCACTTTTAATCATACTAGCATACAGAATCCAAGGCTTAAAGCAAAAGCAGTAAAAGATTTCGCGATAGAGAAAGTACAATCAGAATTTTTACAGACAGACATTCTCCTTGGCTTGCAGGGGTATTTCCCAGTATTTACACTCTCTATTCTTACTTGCCCCCAGGGCCTGAATTATGTGGGTGAAGAGGACAGGCAGAAGCAGGATCAGTGTCCCGGATCATGCTTCATGCTTCACGTGCTGAAGAAATAGTGCTTTATGTTTTCCAAGTAACACCTTGTATCCTCAAGCGGAGCAATGAAAAGCAAAGTTATCCATACAACTCCTTCATAGATCCTTAGCCAGGAGAGCGCAAAACAGTGGGCAGAACCAAAATGGAAGCACAGCACCTCTCTGAAAAAAATGGCTGTCTCCATCAGTTCTGGCAGAGCTGGGGAGTTTGTACTTGCAAGGGAATTCCTTGCCTTGCAACAGCATAATAAATCTGTGAACACACATCGTATATGTTCCTGCCCACAATATATACAGGGAATTTTGCTCTGCAGTGAGAGGGGCCAAAGGAGAAGAACAATGAAAATACCCTTGAAATGATGGCTAACAGTTAGAGAGCCTTGCTCCTCAATGCAAGGTATGGGCAATAAAATTAATATATAGCCTTTTCTTTCTCTCCTTCCTTCCTCCTACTACATTAAAAGCACTGCCTTGGACGTTTTGGAACAAGATCAGCTACGTACACATACAATTGAGTATGTACAACTGGGGAAGGAAAACCAGTCCCTGTCTAAAGAGAAGTCTCTTACGTTTTCATCAAACACGGAATATTTGTCATGTTCTGATTTAAACATTTCATGTGGTGGAATCTTCATTTTTGCCAGTTTTGCTGCCTGTAATATAAAACATGCATTAACTGCGTTAGCATCACAGTTAATTACTGACAACCTGTCACATATGCAAAAGGAAAAGTAGACTAATTCGTAAATCAAAGAGCATTTAATTCACAATTGTTTATCACGTGAAAAGAAACTTTCAGTTTCAGTAAGTCTTAGCTGTGCTTGTCTGGGGGAAAAATATGGTTTAAATCTGTAGAGAGCCACTTAATAAAATAGATGTATTGCAGGAACTCCAAATAACTCACTTCTATACTCCAAAAACTACATCTGATTTTTGCTCATTTGGTTTCTTAGTGTTTTAGGTGTAAACACAAAGCGAATAGTTGCTCAGTAAAGAATTAACTTGCTGCAAAGAGAACCACCTTTATCAACAGTTTCCTGCAGACATGCACAGGTTTCTATGCAGGTCACAGCAGGATCAGGATGCAAGTAATTGCACTGAAAATAAGCTAAACTTTCACTTATCTCTAAACAAGCGCATCTCAGAATCCTTTCCAAGTAATTTATGCCCAATGTAAAGGAATCACCTTTTTGAAAGAATGTAAAAAGCTACTTGGAATTTGTGGATGATAAATGTTATTTATCTGGTTTTGTCTCCGTACATGGTGCTTTCTCAAAGTTTACTTCCTCTTTTAACCCAGGAATGCATTTCCTGTACTGTTAGAGTCATCAGCATGGCAAACAATGTTTTCTTCTTATGAGTTCATTTTCTCTGGCTATCTGCTCCTCATCCAAAGCCTAAAACCTTTGAGCTATCTCAATTCCAACTGTAGAGATAAAATGCATTTTTACAAAACACTACATTTCAGAGTTCAATCATAGGGAACAGGTGGATTCTTAGAGAGGAGGAAAAAAACCCCAAACATATTCACACATACCTATGACACTTGAAAGTGCAGAAAAAAAATAAATGACACAAGCAAAATCTTCTCTAACAGGTATGGAAGATACTTCTTTGGCAATTAAGGAAGTACTATTGTCTACGGACTGAAGGAAGTACTACAAGTTTTTCTAAGAAGCTTTTGCAGCCTTTAGTTGTGTTTTCAAAGATGGCTTCTCTATAGCAGGAGCTGAATATTCAAATCTGAACTCCAAGCCAAAGTCATTCTGAGCACGAAATTATAGACAAAAAATAAAAGGAAGCCCAGTTAAGGCCGGGCAGAGAGCCTGTGTTCTAATGTAATCTTTCCTGCACGTGACTATTGCTGCTAACACTTTTCTTCAAAACCAGATTAAAAGGATCTGAACACTTACTTCCTGCTCTTGTTTTTTCCTGGCTGCTTCTTGTTTCTTCCTTTTCTTCTCTTCTTCAATCTATGAAAGGCAATGTTAATGAGTAAAAGGTAAGTACTTCATTTGGTTGTTTTCTTCAGATCTGAGCCAGCTAGCTCCCCTGGATATCTAATTACAGACAGAACTGGCAGCATGATCCGCAGCAAAAACACCATGCCTTATAATTAGGATTGTCTGATCCTTCCCACTGTACGACTTTGATTTGATTTGCTTTTACTCACAGTTAAATCAGTTTTAACTGTTCAGAATGCATTTTGCATGCAAAGTGTATACATATAAAAGAATACATACAAAGCCTGAAAAAGAAATGCTCCTGCCATTTCATGGGGAAAAATATTTTGCAAATGACTTTAAAAAAAGACCATATTTCACTGATATTTTAAGCTCTTGCCTCATACTGAAGAAATTACAGTTTCTCAAGAAGCAGTTGTATCCCTTGATGTTCCTAGGGAAACAATTATCCAAATTTAGCCAACTTATAAAACTAAAAAAAAATAAAATCTGATCTTGCACTTGCTTAGGAGAGACCTATCAGTTGTCCAAGGGTTCTGCCAGTACTGAACATAATACTGTTTCCAGGGAAAATGTACTCTAGCTGTAGGTTCCACCCAGCAGCTACATACAAAGTGCCTTCAAATGTTTTTTGATCATAATGCCTGGAATGGGTTGAGACTGTATTTTTCTTCTCCCTTTTCTAAAAAACATCTGCACGGAAGGAGAAACATTGGAAAGTCTTCCAAACATTTCTAGTCATGATGGAATTTTATTGTTTGTTAAAACTGAAGACAGAGATAGGAAGTGTTACTTTTAAATGTTACAAAGTCAATATTAATGCTAGGAAGTGCTAAAAGGAGGGTTTCTGTACAGACCTTGTGCATATGAATTAGAATTCATTATATAGTAACATGTGCATTCTTGCCCCCACACCCTGAGTACCTCACTCATCCATACTACATTAAGAAAGATTTAGCCAGTGCATTTTATTCTCACATATCAGATAAATACAGTCTAGGTCTATGGGAAATGTCAACTTTATTTGTACGGTCAAAAAAAGTCCAAATTAGCTTCTCATTGGAATTGTTCCTACAGAGAGATAAAACAGTATGCATGCAATACTCAACATCCCTTAATTATATGAAGATCTTCAAAAAAACAACCAACGAAAAAACCTTAGAGGTATTAATTAGGTCCCATACAAAATTTTCAAGAGGCTACTGTTTCAAAAATTCTTTTCCTGAACACACTCAGATTTTAGTATTAATTCTCTTACATTATTTTCCTTGTTGCTAGTCTGTTAAGATTTTTCTTGCAAGTTATCAAAGAAATGTAAAAGTATCCATAAGCTTACACGTTACTTTAGATTTAAAAAATATAGAATACTTAAAATAATAACCTTTTTCTTTTCTTCCCTTTCTTTCAATAACGTGTCCTTATCCACTAATTTAACCACAGTTGGAAGTCCTAAAGAAGCAAAAACAGATGAATGAGTTTCCATGCTTGAATAGTCAAAGATAAATGTATTTACCCTGTGATAACTGTTTTCTTTTTGCTAGCTGAATGCAAATACAACTGAGTAACTATTCAAAAGTGAGTAAGAAATTAGGTACTATACAAGGGGATCAAAAAGATTGCAATGTATGTTTTTATATGCCATACTTATATTCCAATATACTGTTCTATAATATATATTCACACATCAGAAATATGATATGCTATAGCTCTGCAGTCCTTGAATTTGTTGGATTATTCCAGATTAGTTTTGATAGGTTATTTTCCCACTTCTTATGAAAACAGTAAGATTATAAAAACAGCTACCTACAAAATTGCAGGACATATAATTGGGTACCTTCATGATCTTCAAATCGAACACCAAGTTCAGGAAGGATGTCATCTCGAAGAGCATCGCTCAACTGCAGCACTTCAGTTACTACAGAGCATGGAAAATACTTTTAGTGAAGTAAGATTTGGTGAAAGTACACTTCTTTCCTGCTACATAGTTATTTAAATTAATTTAATTTATTAATTTAATTAAGAAATTGCCACTCTCTCAACACAGGCCAGAGAAAGGTCTTTTGTTTTAAAGTGATAAACCTTTTCAGTTAGTTCTGCCTTCTTTCAGCTACACAGAGAAGCAGCATGTTTCTTTGCAGGGACCTGAAATCCATAAATTTTCATCCAAGATACCCTCATTGTTCCTGAAGGGGAACAGAAAGAAAATCCAAGGCAATTCAGAAATGATGCGACAATTCTGCCAGGGTATAGTGGAAGGCTGTATGACTCAGGAAGATCCTAATGGTTGCTGTAGGACTTCCAATAAGAAGGGTTAAGAACCCTGTTCTAGAAAAATCACAAATTAACATATCCTGTGCTACATCTAACAGTGCCTTTGAAGGACTATTATTTTGTCAGTTTGATAACTACATACACATTTATCAGAGCAATTGTAATCCTCTGTTTCTACAGATATCTTTACCACCTAGTCTGACCAAGCTGTTTTTCAAGCAAGCTAGTGGCAGCAGAACAGAGAATTTTGATTTGGCTCTTTGGATGGTGATCAGGACATCATGACTAACATTTTTTTTTCTTGCAAACTTACCAAAGAGCCTTTGATAACAGCCAATGGTTAAGAATTCAAGATTTAGCTGACATAGATGCTATCAGCTCAAGAGGAAAATAAATCTTCATATAAAATACTTACTTGGATGAGAAATTGTGTCAGCCGAGAAACAGCAGAACAGTTTAGAGGAACTAAATGCATCAAATATATTGCTGTTGTGAATTTAATTCAGTGGCATTTTTTATAGACTGTCTTGTATTTAGGAGGAAATCCTTACCAAGTGTGACAAGATAGATACTTGAGTTAGATGATACCATGTGCTTACAATAAACAAGCGTTCTCCCTTTCAGCAACTCTCAGCTGGTTAAACCTGAGAAGTAATAGGGGTCTCAAAGGTAGTAATTCTGGGAGTAGAAACTAACATCGCCTGTACCAAACACTGCACATATCAGTAGATACAAGTGCCACCCCTGAGCCCTCATCCCTTCCATAATTGTCAGAGCCTCAGAGAGCTGAACAGTGAACAGAGCACTGACTATCCTAATACCATAAAAAGGAATAGCCACCCTACTTCATTGCATGGTAGTGTTCTGCAACTCTTTGTACAGGAAAGCACTGCAGTTTATAGAAGCTCTTTTGTCTGCCGTGAACTAAGTCGTTATTTTTCTTGATCCGGAGCAGTTAGACACAGTGAACCACATTCATGCTTGATGCAAGTCTAAATAAGCCATTAAGATAAACAAGGGATAAGATTACCTCACTGGCTGTTAACACTAAAAGGTGTTGACTCTAACCTAGGCACAGGAATTACACATACCATATCAAGAACGTATCAGATACACCTCCTGCTTATTCAGTAAAACAGTGTCTGCTCAGTTATAAATATTTACTTATCTGAAATCATGAATAGTTGAAAGTTTAAGAAGAAATCCATCAAGGTACAGAATAATGAGGAATGCATAATAAACCATGTATTATTTATGAAAGGACACATCCTCTGATCAATCTTCTGTCATCCTGAGGAGTCAGCACCATGCTTCATAAAGCTGAAATGTGCCTGTTCTTTGCGTGTGGTACCTCCAGAGCAAAGATGTTTAGGAATCGGGTAGGGGGTTGTTTCTGGGCTGCGCCAAGACATAAGCCATAATCCTCGCTGAGGACAGTGACCAGTGGGATAGTGCCTTACCACCAGTGCCCATGAACACCCTGGCAGCTACACTCCTTAAGCCTGTGACTATTGCCCAGATCTCTCTTCACATTTTCTGTGAATTTCAAGCCAAAGAGTCTTGGATGCGAAATAGATGTTGTGCTGTTGTGAATGGGAACACTGTGATGGGAAGGAAAAGGAGGAGCTTACAAAGTATTTTGAGAATGCTGGATGCAGCAAAAGGCAGGAGCAGACACAGTTACAAGGACCAAGTTTGTCCCAATTCTGGTCAACTTATTATATATTAGGAAGAGGGCAAAGGGCTTCCCACTGTGTCCTAGAAACAGCTTAGAGCAAGACACCATGTGGCACTAGCACCCATGGCAGGAAATGAAGATGCAAGCAGACTTCAGTCACGGACACCTTTACCACGGGGTAGTTAATTTAAGCAGATGTCCTGATGTAAGTAACCAACAACAACTGGAGAGACTTGCTCCTGTTTGAATATCTGAATAATAATTCGTTGCAAATGAGAATTCTTCCCAAGCATCGGGGGCTGCACTAGAGCACAGATCCGTTCCGCTGTGCATCCTTGCAGAGACAGCTATACGGGGTCTTTGCAGTTAGTGAAGTACTCAAGTAAAATGTCAGGATGCACAATATAGAGATGCTCTGACCAACCAATCATTGATGTCTTTTGCAGAAGTTTTCTGCATTTCTTTCCCCTGTACAGCAAGTACAGTGTTTTCCTGTTTACCATCACTGCTAGATATGTTCACAAATAAGGTCAAGACTCAGCTGAAAATAATCAGTGCAGGTCTCCAGTTTGCATACTCATAACCTTATAAAATAGAGAATTTATTTTACTCATATGTTGAATGTTAGCCATTCTGGATGACGGTAAAATTTTTGTACAGTATATACATTTTGATGGTTATAGAAAAACATAGTTTTACAAATGGCTATTCTGTGAAATGTTTTGTAAATACGGGACATTTCTATTACTCCACAGGTTTTAGAGAAGCAGCATAATTTTACTTAACCTCTAAGAATACCTAAAGCAATACAGATCATGTTAATTAATATTTAGCACCATCCTGCCAGCATCAGACTGTGACGGGGAAACTCCCTTCACTTGCAACCATGCAGAGGCAATATCCCCAGTCATTAATCAGAACAGCTTTTACAGTAATTTAACACTTCCTGCAAGCAAGAATTCAATGGGTACAGGGAAACAAATCAGTAGCTTGTCAGTGCAGGTCCTGCCAACCACCACTCAGCTTCCATATATCAAATACTTTAATGGAAGTGCCTCCCTGGTCAAACTGCAGAGTGCTATAACCACTTCGTACTCCAACCAAACAGCAACTAGAGCCAGCTTTATTCTTACTGCCCAATTTATTTCAGACAAAAAAATCAATACCTTCCAAGTAAGAAACTCTAGCACCAGTAAGCAGTCTAGCACTAAGTACATTCTAAAAATTATCCACTAGAAGCCCCATAATATTTAAACCTTACCACTGTTAAGAGAGAGGATCAGTTTACCTCAACAATCAGAAAGCAAGGGGAAAAAAAGCGCCTCATATAAAATGAGTATTTACGTTAAATATTGAAAGAACAAAGGTCACATTTTTTGGCTGAGAATATACACACAAACTTCTTGAATTAATTCAAATTACAGAAAAAAATTGCTGTTAGGACCAATAAACCTATTTCTCAGCATCAGTAAGGCCTATAGGAGCTTGATGGCAATAGCTGAGTAGTCACAGTAACAAGTACAGTGTGCTAGTAAGGTGAATTTACTAGCCCTTAGAAGAACTCAAAACAGTAGCAGAATTAGGGTTCACATTCTTTGCCAGATGCATAGGTTATCAGCCAGACACTACAAGTAATATTATATTATATTTATATTTTATATTTATGTATAATATT